ATGCAAGGCCATACATCTAGGAACAAAGAAGGTCCATCATGCTTATAGGATGAGGAACTTGGTTTTAAGGGCCAAAGAGTTGAAGGTGTTAAACTCTTTCACTGTCCACTTAAATAATTAATTTGTTATTTTTAAAACATTTGTTATTTTTCCCAGAGAAGTCATGGTTTATTTGGTTGCTTACCAAATGGCTAAGAGCATTCTATAGAAAGTTTATTGATCAAACACAAGACAGGGCAAAAAATCAAAACAAGCATTGATACTGAAATGAGAAGTTGTAATGAAAAAAAATACGTTCATAATAGGCACAGATGTGTGAACCCACTGCCTTGCCTGGAGCAAAACTGATTCTGATAGTTATTTTTTGTCCATTTTCTCTCCTGAGAGACTGTCAACTCCACCACCTTCTGCAGCTAGGTGTAAAGGGAAAATGCAGTGGTCACATATACATAAATAAAGATACTAGTGTATAGAGAGAGATTGTCAGTAAAAATAAAAAGTTGCAAGGGAAAAAAGTGTTTCCTACACTTTTACATCGCTAGCAATAAGTGTGCTTTCATTTACAAGCTTGACACTATCAATTTGGACTTGAATAAAGATATTAACTGGTTAATACACTACAAAGGCAGTTTCCTCCACCTTTGACATTCACATTTCTACATAAGATACTATGAATAGGATACTTAATTAGCTTCATTCTACAGTTGATAGGTAACTGTTTTTGCTGTCACATAGTCTGTAATTCCCGGATTCGGTAATTTCCACTCCTACTTATCTGATGAAGTGGGTTTTACCCATGAAAGATCATGATCGAATATATTTGTTAGTCTCTAAGTGCCACAGGACTGCTCCTTGTTTTCTCATTGTGAATCATCTTGTGGCTCTCTTCTCTGAACTCTCTCCAATTTTCCTATGTGGTATTGGACAAGATCTTCTTCTCTTACTGCATGATTGTGCCAAATTAAAGGAACTTGATATATAGCAAAAAACCTCTAATGTGTGTGACATCACTGTACTAACAAAAAAGTCTTGAAAATCTATGGAGGCTGGGTTTGAGACTATAACGGTTTTCATGTTAGATGTTCCTGCTAAACTAACAAACATACTGCCTGTGATACTGATTTAGAATTTACCTAGTTCACAGGGAATCATTAAGGAAAAGGCAAATATGAGCTTCCCTGCTAAATGATACTCTCTCACTTCAGGGCCTGATGAAATGCATCCTAGAATGCTCAAGGAACTGATAGAGGAGGTATCTGCGCCTTTAGCTATCATCTTTGAAAAATCATGGAAGACGGGAGAGATTCCAGAAAAGGGCAAATATAATGCCCATCTATAAAAAGGGAAATAAGAACAACACAGGAAGCTACAGACCAGTCAGTTTAACTTCGAAAGATAATGGGGCAAGTAATTAAGAAATTATCTGCAGACACCTGGAAGACAACAGGGTGATAGGTAACAGCCAGCAGGCATTTGTAAAGAACAAATCATGTCAAACCAATCTGATAGCCACAAAATTCGTTATACTATCAAAGAAAGCTAAGGGAGACGGCGGTGGACGTGATACACCTAGACTTTAATAAGACATCTGATATGGTCTAACATGATCTTATCAATAAATTAGGCAAATTCAACTTAGATGGGGCTACTATAAGGTGAGTGAATAATTGGCTGGATAACCATTCTCAGAGAGTAATTATTAATGGTTCACAATCCTGCTGGAAGGGCATAACAAGTAGGGTTCTGCAGGGGACTATTTTGGGACTGGTTCTGTTAAGTATCTTCAGTAATGATTTAGATATTGTTTTAATAGTGTCTATACATGCAAACTGCAATTTGAATTTGGTAAACCTCATTCTACGAGGAGTATCACTAAATTCGAAATAGCTTTTTTGAATTAAGTGCTGTGTAGACACTTAATTTGAAATAGGGGGCCTCCAGCCCTTCCCAGGGAGCCCTGGTGGCCACTCTGGGCACAACAGGAAAACTTACTCTCCTCTCCCCCAGCCCCGGAGCCATTAGAGGGATAGACCCTGGCCACAGTGCCTGTGCCAGCTCCAAGCCTGCCAGCCCAGAGCCAGCAGTAGCCACCGGGGCCCCTGACCCAGTGGCCCCAAAATATGAGCCAGCAAGCCACTGGCAGCCAGCCCTCCACTGCTCCCCAGGAGCAGTCTGCCATCTCCCAGGAGCCTGACAGGGGCTGGAGAAGGGGGGCGCCTTCCTGGTCCAGGGTGGAGATCATGGACCTTATTCAGGTTTGGGGGGGATGCCCCCAAAGTCCATGATCTCTGCACTAGATGGAGGAACGTGGCTGTCTATGGCAGGATAGCTGCCAACCTGGCCACCAAAGGCCACATGCAAACCCAGGAGCAGGTTTGCATGAAAATCAAGTTGGTCCGGCGAGACTCCCAACCCTGGGCCCTGAGCTTCCCCTCCCCCTTCTTCCCCTTGCTTCCCCCTTTCAGCTCCCTCCTCCCAGGTTTCCCCCTCCCCTTTCCCACTCTCTCTCTACTCCTCTCCCACCTCCTTTTCCCAGTCTCCCCAGAGATTCACCCCCCAGTTTTGTTCAGTAAACCCAGTTTCTATTTTAGAACATACGTGTCTTTTGTTTGACAAATTGAGGTTGTTCAGAGATTCAAAAATGTCCATGAGGTATGCCAGTGAAAGTTGAAACATTTGGTCCGTAAATGCACGATATAACTCTTCTTCTTTCTTCTGTTGCTTGAGGGAAATTTCCACTTCGTCTTTCAGTTTGAATAATCTCAAAAGCATGTTACCTTTGGAAAGACATCATAATTCCATGTGAAACAAGAGTTTTATGATTCACTCCCAAGTCTCGTATTTAAAGCGCTGTTCTTCACAAAATTGACAACTTTTGATGGCCAAATTCTACAAGTCACGTAGATTATCTGGAAGGGTTTTAGCAGCCTATGCTTGTTTGTGTATGACAGAGTGTGTCATGGTTACAGCTGGATTTTTTTTCTTTCACCAATGTCACAAATCCAGAGCGAGAGCCAAGCATCGCTGGAGCACCGTCTGTGCATACGCCAACCAGTTTTTCCCCATGAAAGTCTATTTTCTTCAAAAAAGTCAGAAATTGTTTTCATAACATCAGACGCCTTTGATGTGGTCATCAATTCTTTTGAAAAAAGCAGGTGTTTTTTCACAGTTCCATCGTAAATGAATTGAACGTAGATGAGCAACTGACAGCGTTGTGGTACATCAGTGTTATTGACACAGTGAATTGCGAAAAAAGAAGCCAACACTGCCTCCACAACTTGAAGTTTAAGATCTTTTGCCAGGTCGTCGATGCGACATTTCACGGACTTGTCAGAAAGCAAAATTTTTTCTTGCTTTCGACACCAAGCACAATATCATCTTCTTTCAATAATCAAGGCTTCACAAGAGTTTCTCCTATTACGTGCGCTTTCTTGGCTTTAGCGATGAGCAATGACAGTTCATAAGATGGTTCTTCCACTCTGACCGATGCTTAATGAAAAGCTCCAGTAGTGTCCAGCTTCATGTGTTTTAAATTTTGAAGTTTAGCAGCAAAAAATTCTCTTGGTTTGTCTGTCAAAGCACTGTGGTGGTTCTTCAAGTGTTGCTCAAGACATCATTGCTGAGAACTGTGTGGTATACTACGCACTGAGGATGATCGATCCCGTTTTTTCCATGACAGTGAAGCTGATAGGCACAGCAAGGCAGCCATTTTGATGTAAATGAAGCGGCGATTATTTAAATCACTGCTTCATTTTCCTATGTCTAGTAAACTAATCTACATGGCTCCGTCGATGGATCCATGTAGTCTAGACATACCCAGAGATAGTATTGCTTTGTAATCTTAGGACGTAAATGCTACCTGCAAACTTTAGATGCTCTCTATCAAAGTAAGAATAGTGGTGGTGAGTGTGTTTTCTTTGCTAGGAGATCAGGCAGAGACCTACGTTTTTCTTGCCTTCCTCTGGGGCACTTACCAGTTTACATTGGTATAAATGGTGGATTCCCTGTAACTTGAAGGTTGTTGGTTTTGTTTTGTTTTGTTTTTTGTTTTAAATCATGATTTGAGGACATCAGTAACTCAATGGGAAATGAGGGGTCTATTACAGGAGCGGGTGGGTGAGGTTCTGTGGCCTGCAATGTACAGGAGCCTCAGGCTAGATGGTCATGTTTCCTTGTGACCTTAAAGTCTGTGCGGAATGAGAAGCAAAGAAACCGTTTAACTGATGCATTTGTGTACATCCTGAGCATTTAAAGTCTCTATTCAAGCTAATTGCTTTCTTAGGAATACACTTAGTACTGTGAATTGCAGCTGGTTTTGTGGGAAATGAAACTTTATATGTTGAGAACAAAAATTACTAACAGGCAAAAACAAATAAGTGGCATATGCAACATTTGAACAGGTTGTAACTCATCTCTCCACTCGAGGGCCTTTTACCATATGAAGGAAATGGCACATTAGACTCTGTTAAGGACATCTTCTACCTCTACTTGACAGACAAAATCTCCAGCTGACACATGATTGCTGGTTTGGAATGTGAGCTTGAAGTTACAGTGGACATCCTAATTCTGGGACATATCTTCTCACCTTCTGTTCCCAAACAGAGACATAGAATAAAGATCAACTGATTTGTGTTTGTCTCTGAGATTAAAGGCTAATCATTTCTTTATTTTCTGTGTGTCAAAATGATCTATTTAGAGATTCAACAAACAATTTTTTAATAAAACAAAAAATAGTCAAATCTGCATAATAATATTGTAATTTCTAGAAGAAAGTATTGCAAAGTGCTTTGTTTTTTCTTACATTCAGTGTGTGAGGGGTTTGGGTATTGTGAAATAGTTTCAGGATAATTACTAGATTTCTTTACATTTTAAAATGGAGGAGGAGTGAGGCTGTCTTTGAGTTTGACTTTGTTTTAATTTTTAGGTGTATGTACCTTGTAAACACAAAGAATGTATTGAATTTTCCTGTTCTGTTTACTGAAGCTTTTCTCTTTCACCAGGACTGGCAGCCACCATTTGCATGTGATGTTGATAAACTTCATTTTACTCCACGGATCCAGAGGCTGAATGAATTGGAGGTAGTGTCAGAAACTGACATAATTAACGTTAGTCCACTTGAAGAAGTAAATATAAATATGTTCAGAGTAGTGCAGTGAAGCAGAAGGTTGCTTTTGCTCTAAACTGCATTTTATAGAACAATGAATTAAGGCTGTTAAGCAGTGTTCCCTATAAGTTGCGCACATATGCTGCTGTAAAGGAGCAACCCACATGCACACCTTTTCTCTTTCTCTCTCCTTCACACTCACCACCCAACACGTAATTCTATTATTGTTTGTTACTACTTGGTATTTTCTTCTGTGTACATATATTCTCTAAAATTTTATTCTTTCAAAGTATGCCATATTTATGTTTTTACTAGTCTGTCTATGCATTTTATAATTTTTATTTTTCTTGCTCAAGTTTAATTCTTTTGAGTAGCAAGTTCTAAAATTCCTAACCCTTGTTGACTAGACTAATTATCCATATGGTAACTTCATGGCTTTTTTGGATTCTACTGGTGGTTGACAACAATATGTGTTGGTGTTCATAACAACATGTATTTTGCAAATGGATGGAAAAATTAGAAGGAATAATTTTTGAAAAATCATGCTTAAGCAATACTACAGTAAGATTTATTTCAATTTTTTGGAGGTTTTACATTTTCAGTCATATGGATGTCATAGAATACAAAGTGTATATTGCTTACTTTTGTTTATTTTTTATTCCAAATAGTTGCACAGTAAAAAAAGACATAGTATTTTTCAATTCACTTAATGCAAATACTGTGGTGCAATCTTTTTATCATGAAAGTTGAACTAACAAATGTAGAATTATGTACAAAATCCTTCATTCTAAAGTAAAATGTAAAACACTGAAGCCTACACATCTGCTCAGTCCTGCTTCTTGTTTGAGTGATTGGCTGAACAAGTTTGTTTACATTTGGTGGAGATAATGGTCCCTGCTTTTATTTACAATGTGGAAAAGTGTTCTTAAAATGAACATGTGCTGGCTTATCTTCCGAGACTACTGTAACATGAAATATATAGACTCATAGACTCCAAGGTCAGAAGGGACCATTATGATCATCTAGTCTGACCCCATGCACAATGCAGGCCACAGAATCTCACCCACCCACTCCTGGAATAATCCTCTCACCTATATCTCAGATATTTAAGTACTCAAATGATGGTTTAAAGCCCCAAGATGCAGGGGTAACAAAATGGAGGAACTAGAGCTACTGGTCCAGAAAGTGAAACCAGATATTATAGGAATAACAGAAACATGGTGGAATACCAGGCATGATTGGAGTACAGGTATTAAAGGGTATGTGCTGTTTAGGAAAGACAGAAATAAAGGTAAAGGTGCTGGAGTAGCATTCTCGATTTAGTCCTGAGTGGAGCGCAGGATCAGGTCCAGGAGATAAGCGTTACAGGACCGCTTGGGAATAGTGACCAAAATATAATAACATTTAACATTCCTATGGTGGGAAGAACACCTCAGCAGTCCAGCACTCTGCCATTTTAGTTTCAAAAAGGGGAATTATACAAAAATGAGGAGGTTAGTTAAACAGAAATTAAAAGGCACAGTGACTAGAGCCAAATCCCTGCAAGCTGCATGGAAACTTTTTAAAGACACCATAATAGAGGCCCAACTTAAATGTATACCCCAAATTAAAAAACATAGCAAGAGACCTAAAAAAGAGTCACCATGGCTTAACCACCATGTAAAAGAAGCAGTGAGGGACAAAAAGGCATCTTTTAAGAAGTGGAAGTCCAATCCTAGTGAGATAAATAGAAAGGAATATAAACACTGTCAAATCAAGTGTAAAAATGTAATGAGAGAAGCAAAAAAAGATTTTGAGGAACAGCTAGCCAAAAACTCTCAAAGAAATAACAATGTTTTTTAAGTACATTAGAAGCAGGAAGCCTTCTAAAAAACCTGTGGGTCCCCTAAATGATCGAGATATAAAAGGAGCAATAAAGGACAATAAAGCCATTACAGATAAACTAAATGATTTCTTTGCTTCAGTCTTCACAGCTGAGGACGTTGGGGAGATTCCTGAATCTGCACCGTCCTTTGTGGGTGATGAATCTGAGGAACTGTCCCGGATTGAAGTGTCATTAGAGGAGGTTTTGGAACAAATAGAAAAACTTAATGTTAACAAATCTCCGGGACCGGATGGCATTCATCCAAGGGTTCTAAAAGAACTCAAATGGGAAATGGCTGAGCTATTATCTGTGGTTTGTAACCTATCCTTTAAATCGGCTTCCGTACCTAATGACTGGAAGGAAGCCAACGTGATACCAATATTTAAAAAGGGCTCTAGAGGCGATCCTGGCAATTACAGACCAGTAAGTCTAACTTCAGTACCAGGCAAATTAGTCGAAACAATAGTAAAGAATAAAATTGTGAAGCATGCAGAAGAACATAATTTGTTGGACAAAAGTCAAC